ATGGTAATTATCAAGAGTACAAAGAATAATTAATGTTAGCAAGGATGTAGGGGGAAAGGAGTGCTTTTCAACTGTTAGTAGGATTGTAAATCAGTACAACCACTATGGAAATCAATATGGAGTTTTCTCAAAAGACTAGGAATGGAACTGCCATATGACCCTGCTATGCCACTCCTCAGTATTTATCCAAAATAATTAAAGTAAGCATACTTTAGAGATGAGCATACTCATGTTCATAGCAGTGCAATTCACAATAGCCAAATTATGGGACTAGCCTAGATGTCTGTTAACAGATGAATGGATAAAGAATATGTATGTTATATATATACAGTGGAGTTTTATTTAGCCACAAAGGAGAATGAACTTATGTCATTTGCAGGAGAATAGATGGAACTGGAGAGTATCATATTAAACGAAGTGAGCCATAATCTGAAAGTCAAAGGTCATATGTTTCTTCTCATATGTGGAAGCTAGAGAGGAAAAGTGAAAAAAAGGAATCTCATGAAAATAGAAGGGAGACCAGTAGAGTAGAGGAATGGAGTCTTGAGGATGGAAAGAAGAGTTATTGGGGAATAAAATTGATCAAATTATGTTATGTGACAAATATGTCACAATGAATCCCACTATTATTTGTAATTATAATGTACCAATAACAAATTTCAAAAAGACTTGGAAACCAACCTGGACAGAAGATGCTAAACCAAGTGTATGGGTTAGAATTATCAACTGGGTATGCATTCATTAATGTGCTACATGTGTTTTACCCTTGCCCTGTTTATATATAACCCCCAGTAGGTTTTTCTTTTTCTTTTTCTTTTTTTTGTGGTGCCAGGGATCAAACTCAGGGCCTTATGCATGCAAGGCAAGCATTCTACCAACTGAACTATATCCCCAGACCCCCAGAAGGTTTTTATGAAAGTTTACATTTGAGATAAATTGTTTAATAGATTGAAGATTTGGAATTTTGGAGTTTTAATATATCAGCAAGCCATTTAATTTCCTTTACTCTATTGGAATCTCCTTATCTGTAAAACAGGCATGAAATTATCTTATCACAGGCTGCTTCATAAATAAAATGAGATAAATAACCACTAATAAATAACCGTTATAGCTTATGTTTATTGAAAACTTTCTGTGTGCCAGGTACTGTTATAATGATGTCACCTATACTTGTTCACTTAATCCTCAGAGGTTCTGTTTTCTCTATTTTATGGTTAAGAAACTGAGATCAAAGATATAGAAACTCTTTGAAAATTCTAAAATAGATTAAATGTTATTAAATAAAAATTAGATATTATTATTGTTATTATTATTATTAGGCTTTATGTTTTAGAGATGTTTTAGGTTCATAGAGTGGGAGGTCAGAATTGCCATATATCCTCTGCCCCACCACACACATAGCCTCCACCATTGTCAACATCCCCCCAGCAGAGTGGTACATGTTACAGTTGACTAACACATTGACACATCATTGTCACCCCAAATTCATAGTTTACATTAGGATTCACTCTTGGCCTTATACATTCTATGAGTTTGGACACATGTATAACAGTATGTTTTTACCATTATGGTATCATTTGTAGTGTTATCGTCAGGGTGTCCAGTTGGGGTCCAGGTCCTTGGTGTCCTGAACAAAGACTTGAGCAAGACACACTCAAGTAACAGGCAAAGTACAGATTTATTGAAGGTGAAAGTAAGAGTAGTACTCCATTAGGTAGAGCAGAGTGAGCCATGCAATGGAGAAGAGCTCAAGGCCCAAATCTCTGGAAATTAGTGTCTTATATGCTGAGCTGTGAGGTGTTCTCTCCCCTATACAGACCTGATTGAAGACCTTACCCCATTTGCTCCCATTAGTTATCTTATGATACCTCATTAGAATATTGTCCAATATCCCCTCATTGGTAACTTTAGAAAACTGAATTAGAATACTTCCCACTTTACTCCCAGTGGTCATTTTAAAATACTGAACTTATGGTAGGAGTTGTCATGGTGATAAGTCCTTGGGGGTGGGAGTTGTCATGATAATGGGATTTATTGTAAACAGAGACAGGACTTGGCTCCTTGTTCTCTAGTGGCTTTTCTAATACTGTGTCTGCCATCTTGGTGTCTCTGAACTCTTTTTTTAAAAAATATTTTTTTAGTTGTAGATGAACACAATACCTTTATTTTATTCATTTATTTATATGTGGTGCTGAGGATTGAACCCAGGGCCTCACACATGCTAGGCAAGTGCTCTACCAATGAGCACAACCCCAGCCCCCTGAACTATAAATAAAACTGCCTGTTTTAGTCAGAATTTTTGTTACTATGACCAAAAGACCTACAAGAACATTTTTAAGGACGGAAAGTCTATCTGGGGGTTCACAGTTTCAGAAGTCTCACTCCATAGATAGTTGGCTCCATTCCCTGGGGCTCCAGATGAGGAAAAACATCATGTGGAAGAAAATGCCAGAGGGAAGCATCTCACCTGATGATCAGGAAGCACAGAGAGAGCTCTACTCAACAAAGTCAAAATGTATACCCCAAAGATGCCCCCAATGCTCACCTCCTCCTGCTGCATCCTACCATCCCTCATTTACCACTCAGTTAATCCTTGTCAGGGAATTAATTCACTGATTGGGTTAAGTCTTTGTAACCCAATCATTTCACCTTGAAACTTTTTTGCATTTTCTCACACATGAGCTTTTGGGGACACCTAATATCTAAACCATAACACACCCTAAAAATCCGCCATGCTGAGCATGATCATACCTTCCTCCCCTTTACCCCTGGTGACCACTGATATTTTTACTGTCTCCCTAGTTATCTTTTCTAGAATGTTATATAGTTGAAATCATACAGTATATGGCTTCTTTCTCTTTATTATATGAACTTAAGTTTCCTCCTTGTCTTTTCAGTAGCTTTGTGGCTCATTTCTTTTTAGTGCTGTGTGATATTCCATTGTTTAGATGTAACAAAGTTTTTTTTTTTTTTTTTTTTTTTTTTTTTAGGAGCTGAGGTTGTGGCTCAGTGGCAGAGTGTTTGCCTAGCATGTGTGAGATGTGTGAGGCACTAGGTTTGATTCTCAGCACCACATATAAATAAATGAATAAAATAAAGGTCCATCAACAACTAAAAATATATATTTTTTAAAAAGTGTTTTTTTTTAAATCCACTTAAACTGCCAAAGAACATCTTGGTTGCTCCCAGGTTTGCACAATTATGAATAAAGCTCCCATAACTATTGAGTTCAGATTTTGTGTGGACATATGCTTTTACCTTCTTTGGATAAATAAAGGAATATTGCTAGATTGCTAGATTGCATGGCAACAGTATGTTTGGTTTTGTAAAAAATAGCAAATTGTCTTCAAAATTGTCTACACCATTTTCCATTCCCACCATCAATAAGTGAGTTTCTGTTGCTCTACATCTTTTTAAATATTTATATTAAATATAAATTATAAAATTAGTTATAGATGGACATAATATCTTTAATTTTTATTTATTTTTATGTGGTGCTGAGGATTGAACCCAGTGCCTCACATGTGCAAGGAATATGCTCTGCCACTGAGCCACAACCCTAGCCCCTGCTTTACATCTTCACCAGCATTTGGTGTGATCAATGTTTTAGCAATTTAATAGGTGTTAATGGCATCTCATTATTGTTTTAATTTACATTTCCTGGATGACTTATTATGTATGTGGAGCATCTTCTTATGTGTGTTTTTCCATTTGTATATTTTCTTTGAGGAAATGTCTATTAAGACCTTTGGTCCATTTTATAATCAGATTATTCTCTTATTGTTGAGTTTTAAGTGTTCTTCATATATTTTGGATAACAATTCTTTTTTTTTTTTTTTTTAAATTATCGGAACCCATTGTTTTTTTTTTTTTTTTTAAAGAGAGAGTGAGAGAGGAGAGAGAGAATTTTTAATATTTATTTCTTAGTTTTCGGCGGACACAACATCTTTGTTGGTATGTGGTGCTGAGGATCGAACCCGGGCCGCACGCATGCCAGGCGAGCGCGCTACCGCTGAGCCACATCCCCAGCCCTGGATAACAATTCTTTACCTTTTGCAAATATTTTCTCCCAATCTGTGACTTGTCTTTTACATCCTCTTGACAGTATTTTTTTTGCAGAGCAGAAGTTTTAAATTTTAATGAAGTCCAGCTTATCAGTTATTGCTTTAATGGATCACACCTGCATTGCATTCAAAAGTCATCATCGTATCCAAGGTCACATGGATGTACAATTGTTCCAGCAAAGACTTGCTGAAAAGACTACCTTTGCTCCATTGTATTGCCTTTGCTCCTTTTCCAAAGATCAGTTGAATATGTTTATGTGGGTCTATTTCTGGAGTCTCTATTTTGTTCCATCGATCTATTTGTCTGTTCTTTTGCCAGTGCCATATCTTGATTACTGTAGCCTTACCAAAGTCTTGAAGTCAGATAGTGTCAGTTCTTCAACTTTGTTCCTCTCCATTAGTATTGAGTGGACTAATCTGGGTCTTTTGCCTCTCTGTATAAACTTTACAATCAGTTGTTATCCATAAAATAACTTTCTGGGATTTTGATTGGAATTGCACTGAATTTATAGATCAAGTTGGAAAGAACTGATATCTTGAGTTTTCCTTTCCATGGACCACATATTTAGTTTTTTGATATCTTTCATCAGAGTTTTGCAGTTTTCCTCATATAGATCTTGTGCACATTTGATAGATCTCTACTTAAATCTTTCATTGTTTTGGATGCTAATATATATGGTATCGTGTTTTAAATACCAAGTTCTGCTTGTTCACTGGTGGCATGTAATAAAACTATTGACTTTTTTGTATTAACCTTGTATCCTGCATCCCTACTGGGATTGCTTCTTAGTTCCATGAGTTGTAAGATATTATTTTAATTCTACCCATAGTATAGATCTAAGTCCAGCAAAGCACCATTTTGTAATACAAATCTGTGTTTTGCTCCATTTGTATAAAAATTTTCTCTTTTGCCCTTTAAGGTGAACTGAGGATACCATGACAGTCACAGTGGTATATGATAACTCTGAGGCAACAGAGCTCTGTGCGGCTCAGCACCTCTACCTCAAGCCCATAGCAAAATTGATGATCAGTGTATTGCTCCCAGAAAGTATGGATCCTGTGAGGCCCTTCTCTAACTGGGAAGTTCTTGACCAGCTAAAGAGCCTCATTTGCCCTGACCAGTTCACCACAGTTCGGCTCTCCAAGAGTACAAAAGACTTTATCCGATTTGAGGGTGAGGCTGAAACCAGAAGTTTGGTTCAAATCTTAAAGGCAAAGTTACATGGAAAGATCATCAAGCTAAATGGTTTGAAAACAGACTTAAAAGTAGTGGCTACAGATGCTTTGGGAGAGTGGGAACACTTCCCCAGGGAAAAAGAAGCTTCACTGAGTGATGGGGCTGAAGAGCAGGACCACGATAAGAGCCCAGATTCCATATATTTTGAAGGCTTGCCCTGTAAATGGTTTGCACCAAAAGGTTCCAGTGGGGAGAAGCCATGTGAAGAGATTGTTCGGGTAGTCTTTGAAAGTTTCGGGAAGATCAAGAATGTGGATATCCCTATGCTTGACCCCTACAGAGAAGTGATGACTGGTGGGAGCTTTGGGGGGTTTAGCTTTGGCTTGCAGACATTTGAGGCCTTTATACAGTACCAGGAGTCAACGGACTTTATTAAAGCCATGGAGTCCCTTCGAGGGATGAAGCTGATGCTTAAAGGTGATGATGGGAAAGCTCTGGCATGTAACATTAAGGTAAGAAGTAGCCAGACTTTCTTTTATTTCCCACTTTTCAGGTGATCCTGAGTCAAAGCTGGAAGGAAGCATCTAGAATAAATTTCCTTAGATTCCACCAGGCTCTGATTAATAACTCAGGTAAAGACTTATGTTGTCATTAAGCAATGGATGTCTAGGGAGAAAAATAATCTTGATTGGAACACTCCTTCTACTCTCAGGCATGATGGTTGTTATAATCTGGGGTTCTGCTGTAGCTTCTTGAGGGCATTAAAAGATTATTTGTGGCTCCTATGAAGTATCTCATATTCTGTTGTGTTAGGTTGCTGAGAGAGAGGGACACATGCAGTTTAAAACCATAAGGACAATAGTTTATTTCCTTATTATTCTGGGAGTCACAGCTTATATTTTTCAGCATGTCTGTCAGGTAAATTGCTAAAACATAATCCTACCAGATTTGGATCTTTTACTTTCAAAATCAGCCTGTCTATCCAGTCATGTCATCTCATTGATGTCTGTATGCTTTGGTTATCTACTTTTGGAAATCTTAACCCAGCAGTGGAAAAGAGATAGCTATATGCTCCTTTTTCTATAAATCAGTCGTTACCGTTAGCATGAATTTGCACTTTTAGCTTTGTGTGTGTGAGGGGGTGCGTGTGTGATCATGTGTGAGTACTTTTGTTAAAATGCATATTTTAAAATTATGAGCTATTCAGTAAGACAAAAGACATACCAAAAATTATAATGACTACTCATATACTATTGCTCAGTTTATAAAATAAACCATTACTAGTAAGATGAAAGAGCACTTCCCTTCTATGTACCTACCCTCAATCATATTCGCCTTCCTCCCCTCAAAGGTAACCATGGTCATGAATTTGTTGTTTTTCATTATCATATAGATTTAAATAGCTCTCTCTAGCTGCTTTTACATTTTTAAGCAAATCTGTTTATCTCAGCCTGACTTTCACTTTATGATTTGAAAAGTAGTTTAATAATCATGGTAGTCACATTTCACATCACATTGTTCAGTTTTCTTGTAGTTTTTCTCTGTCCCCACCCCCATTTCCCATTAAGCTAACTGACTATTTTTTTATTCCTGATCATTTACATAAATACAGTAATTCAGTTGATTTTTAGAACAAACCAGAGGTAATATACTCACATTTCTAGAGTGTGCTGATATTGGTGCTGTGATGCTGCCCATGACCATGTCAACCAAACTCTTCAAGGGTTTTTTTTTTTTACATCTTTATTGAGATATATTTGACATATTAAATTGTAAAAGGTCAAGTAATGTTTGATATAATTACGCAAGGGTTCTACTAAAGAAAATCTGAGTGTTCACAAGTACTTTTCAGCTGGTAACTGAGAAGCAGTGGAACAATATGGGCACTGGGATGCAGAGAGGACATTTTGAATTCATTTGGTTTCAAATTGCCATGTACCAACTTTTTTTTAAATCTCTCTGGCCTGTGTCACATCCAGTCAACTGACAAATCTTTCTAATAAAACTTTAAACTGTTTGGGGGCAGGTTATGTTTGACACAACCAAACACTTCAGTGAAGGAGCTGTAAAGAGGAGAAATCAGGAAAGGCTAAAATTACAAGAACTGGAGGAAGAAAGGAAAAAAGAAAAGAGAAGAGAAGAGGAAGTGGCTGAAAGGTGAGTAGACTGATTTTAGGTAAGGAGGGTTTTTTCTTTTGATTTGTAGATTGATTCCTTTGGGTGAATAGCTAAACATGATAGATAACATTGAGGTGGGGGACAGATATTGGTATAGACTACAAAACTCTATTGAAGATTAAAGTCTTTAAAGTGTGCTGTAATGAAACCAAAATGATGAAACAGTTGAAAACAAGAGACTGGAAAAAATATGTCTATAAATGAGAATAAGCAGTAAGGAATTATGGGACTAGCCAGATTAAGATGCCTGGAAAGAAATTATTTTTAAAAGAAGGCTCAGGGAGTCTTATAGTAAAAATTCTAACCTAGCAAATTAGAAATTTGAGTAATTTACCTATTATCTACCAATATTACTTGCCTACCAATTTAAAATGATGAATAGGTTTATAAAAGATTATATTCCACAAATTGGTCAACAAACCATAGGTACTGTACTCACATTTATCAGAGTAACCCATAGGCAAGAAAGTCACAGATTTCTTGGGGCCATTTTTCTTGTTGGCTTAAATTCTTTCTGTGAATTTATGGAGCTTCCACATTTATTTCTTTGAGTTTATAGTTTTCCAATTTAGAGGCTTAAACCTAGAATGGGGTACTGGATTTCCAAAGGTTTGTCAAGGAGGTACAGATGGGCCGGAAATATAGGGTTCTGAAAACCAGTTTTACCTCCTGGCCCCTCCTCTTGAATGTAAATTATAACATTCAAAAAAGGAGCTAATAGTACCCTTCCATGTGCCCCTCACTTTTTGTCTTGTGGGGTGATAGGAGTTACTTGAGATCACAGCTAGGGAACCAGAGCCCAGTCAAGATATGGTTCTCCTCCAAATTCCAGGTTGAATATCCCATTTAGACAGTCCTTTGTCATTTGGCTAAGTCCTGACTTCAGGTAGTTGCTCTTTCTTTCTCCTTCCCACATTCTCATAGGGACCTAACTGAATTAATTTTAATTTTCTGAAAAAGGCATTAAAAACCATCTTCTCCCAAGCCAGTGTGTTTTTACAATAGTGTTTATGCTAAGTAATAGGGGCCAGGGATCAGTTTTCATCCTGAAGATTTTCTTAGTGCCTTGTCTTATCTTTAACTGCCTATGTGAAACCAACCCACAGAACATTATAATCTCAAGAAAAATGAAATCACTTTGAAAGCTCGGTCCTGGGCTGGGGATGTGGCTCAAGCGGTAGTGCGCTCGCCTGGCATGCATGCGGCCAGGGTTCGATCCTCAGCACCACATACAAACAAAGATGTTGTGTCCTCCGAGAACTAAAAGAAAGCTCGGTCCTGTTGTCATTGCTTGTGGTTTGAGAATGTGGAGGATGGAGCCCCTCCTTTGAAATCTGCAGCTTTCTTCTTCCTCTTCCTCTTCTTCCTCCTCTTATTCTTCCTCCTCTTCTTTTGATAGTCTATCTTTGCATTAGATTTCCTTTACATGCTTGTATTTGACCAACTAAATCATGTATCTTTCTCCCTTGACCGATGCTTAACAGTAATTTTATGTGTGTGTGTGTGTGTGTGTGTGTGTGTGTGTGTGTGTGTGTGTTTTGGGTTAACAGTGGTATATTCCTAGAAACCTAAATGATCTGTCCTCCCCTAACAGGGGAAGGAGGAAAGAGGAGGCCAAATGTCTGATAAATACCTTTTGAATGGTTTGATGTTAATCTTTGTCCAGAAAAAGAAAAGATGAGGAGAGGAGAGCCCACGAAAAGAGGAAGAAGGCCAGGACCAGGAGGCGAGCCCTGAAGGAGAGGGACAGCCACAGGTCAAGGAAGCAGAAAGTGAAGGCCAAAGCTGAGGCACCTGAGGAGCCAGACTCTTCAGAAGAATGGCAGGAGAGGAAGCACATGCTGGCTCAGAGGAGAGTTGAGGCCCTTCGATTGCTACGGGTACTCCTGAGGAAAATCTCGGTAGGGCTATTTCCAAATTGTTATTCAGTTTGGGTAGGTATTAACCTTTCTGAGCTCCAGCCTTTTCATTTAAGCACTGGCCTATTGAAAATCAACTCATGGAAGACTCATGGCATTCACTGGGGTTGCTTGGAAATCAACTGATCTCTAATAACCCTAACTGGGAATTTCCAAAAGGGATATCAACATTCTCTAAAGGAGTGGTCTCAACTCTGCCATCCTATACATATACTTTATATTTCTAAACTTCAGGACTGTATTACCCAGAGCATTTAGCTAGTTTATTGATTTTTTCTGTAACAGAAAAATGCAAGGGGAAGCAATGGATAGGTGTGGGTGTTAGGTTGCTGTCTTCTATTAACTTTATTTGTCCATTCATCTGTGACATGTTTGGATGTGAAGGGAGAGCCTGTAGCAAGCTTATGTTAGTCTAGTCTTGAACTATTTGCTGAAGAATTTCTTATCTCACAGAGCATTTGTTTTGTTTGGAGAGTTTCATTTTTGGAAGGTGTTTCTTTCCCTTTCTGGGTTCCTTTTTTATTATTTTATTGTTTATTAACACTTTTTATTTTGCAAATAATATATATATATATATTTTATACATTTATATAAAATATATATACCTAACAATCTCTCAGGTATCTCATTATGGTTTTAATGTGAAGTTTCTTTTTTATAAATATTTTTGTAGTTGTAGATGGACACAATACCTTTATTACTTATTTATTTATTTTTATGTGGTGCTCAGGATTGAACCCAGTGCCTCATACATTCGAGGCAAGCGTTCTGCCACTGAGCCACAATCCCAACCCCTTAATGTGAAAGTTCTAACAACAAATAATACTGGGTATTTTTCATATGCTTATTTGCCATTTGATTCTCCTTTTTAATGAAATACCTGTTTATTTTTTATTGATCTTTTTAAAAATAAATGATAGCAGAATGCATTATAATTCTTATTACACATATACAGCACAACTTTTCATACCTCTGGTTGTATATAAAGTATGTTCACACCAATTTGTGTCTTCATACATGTACTTTGGATAATGATGTCCATCACATTCCACCATCCTTGCTAATCCCCTGCCCCCTCCCTTTCCCTCCCACCCCTCTGTCCTATCTAGAATTCATCTATTCCTCCCATGCTCTCCCTCCCTACCCCACTATGAGTCAGCCTCCTTATATCAGAGAAAACATTCAGCATTTGTTTTTTGGGGGATTGGCTAACTTCACTTAGCATTATCTTCTCCAGTGCCATCATTTACCTGCAAATGCCATGATTTTATTCTCTTTTATTGCTGAGTAAAATTCCATTGTGTATATATGCCACAAAAAAATCCATTCATCCACTGAAGGGCATCTAGGTTGGCTCCACAGTTTAGCTATTGTGAATTATGCTGCTATAAACATTGCTGTGGCTGTGTCTCTGTAGTATGCTGTTTTTAAGTCTTTTGGGTATAGACTGAGTAGAGGGATAGCTGGGTCAAATGGTGGTTCCATTCCCATATTTCCAAGGAATCTCCATACTGCTTTCCATATTGGCTGCACTAATTTGCAGTCCCACCAGCAATGTATGAGAGTCCTTTCTGGGTTCCTAAAGACAGTCAGACTCAGCACAAGCCCTGGATTCAAACCCAGAAATACTTCCAAAGTATTAACTTAAATATCCACATTTATGGGCTGGGTTTATGGCTCAGAGGTAGACCACTTGCCTAGCATGCGTGAGGCACTGGGTTTGATTCTCAGCACCACATAATAAATAAAGTATTGTGTCCATCTACAACTAAAAATATATTTTTTAAAAATCCATATTTAGGTGAGCATGGTGGCACATGCCTGTAATCTTAGAAAATCAGGATTTTGAGGCAAGAGGATTTCAAGTGAGAGGCCAGCCTGAGCAACTTAGCAAGATCCTGTTTCAAAATAAAAAAGGGCCAGGTGTGGTGGTGCATGCTTGTAATCCCAGTGAATTGGGAGGCGAGGCAGGAGGATCATCAAGTTCAAAGCCATCCTCAGCAGCTTAATGAGACCCTGAGCAACTCAGCCAGACCCTGTCTCTAAATAAAATATAAAAAAGGGGTTGGGGATGTGCTCACTGGTTAAGCACCCCTAGGTTCTATCCTCATGACCAAAAAAGTAAATTAAATAAATAAAAAAATAAAAAAGGACTTGAGATATAAAGAGCTCCTGGGCAGTACCAATTATTTTTTTAAAAAATTCATATTTAGTATTTGTAAATATGAAGAGAGAATGTCATTACATAGAATTAATTTTATGTCTATTTGCCATCTTGGCCTTTCTCATTAGTATGGACAGTCAAACTTAGTGAAATCAGGACCAGAAAAATCTCACATTTACATGTATAACAAGGTTTGCTGCATTTTTTGTTTAACTTAATAATTGAGGGTTACTCCTTTTTTTAAAATGTGTCTTTTTAAGTGAGTATAGTGTCTAATTCTGAGTCCCATTAATATTTGTACCAATTATGTGGTCCTCTGGTTTTAATCCCAGATAATGGGCAGGTACTGTACCCTGATGTATGATAGGTGTGAGTGGGAGCACAGTACAAACCCTTGTTGGGTGGCAGTGTGGGCAGCACCTTTCACCTGCTCTGTAGTTATGTAGAACAGATAGCATTAAGATATAATAGTAGGTAGACCCATGGTCATAACCGTTTTTGCTACTTGAAGCTTTTTATTTATTTATTTATTTATTTTCATGATGCTGATGATAGAACCTAGGGCCTCACATATACTAGGCAATTGCATCACCACTTTCCTAGCCCTCATGGGCTTGCTTTTTAATGAAGCAAGTGAGGTAGGGCAACTCAGAGATACCCTCCATAGTAAGAGGCTGGGATATAAAACAGAGATTGTTTATCTTTGAAGCCAGTTGATTCTTGGACACATATTTCACCCATCAGTCCTTTCTTATGCTAGGACATTTCTGGGAGGGCTATAAAATGTTTCTTATTTCTCTTTGTCTCTCCAGCTCCTATTATGTATGATACCTAGAATAGTAGGTTCATCAATTTTTGAACAAGTGGAAAAAAGGGTTATGTGCTTTGAAAGTGATGTAAAGTGTGGTACCTTGTGATAAAAGGAAGGGCACAGACCTAATTAAAGTAGCTCATATTAGATAAAGATATTTATTTTATTACTTCCCATTTCTTCAGTGCAATATTGTTCCTAATTTGGATCTATCCCAGGTATTAGAAATCTCTTTGGAATAATGTTAAAAGAGCCCAGTTTTCTTTGGAATTTTTTCCATCTATTTAGTTTCTCATATGAGATTTTTAATCTTTTCCTTTGAAGGGATCTACACAATTTAACCCACAGGAGGTTGACATTACAGGACCCGAAGCTATTTATACTCTAGGGAACACATTGGAAATTCTGGAGGAAGAAGAATTCAACACTCAGCATCTTCCAAATCAAGAAGAAATGCCAAAATACCAGGTTGCCAAGTCAGATAATAAACAAACACAAAAAATAAAGAAACGAAATAGGGTTCGCTTACATCAATTTTCTCACTGCCTTCGGGGAAAAAAGTTAAGATACTCAATTAGAAAAGAGAGGACTGCAAAATTATTAACTGATGGATACAGACTGGTCTCTGGCCAGAATTCCTTGAAAACTACAATGATCCAAGGTCAGTCTCTTGAAAAAGAAGACCACCACAGTTCTAATAAATCCTATTCTTCAAGATTCTCTGAGAGAGACCATGGCAGGAAAGAGAAGATCTATGAAACAGATGAATTTATTAACTATATATTAAACTATTATCAGACTCCAAAATATGCCCGTATCTGTCTACAACCAAGTCACACAACAAGCACATATCAGTGGCACAGGGACGTTCATGCTAAGGGAAATGGATTTGAGATCAATTTGAGAAAACGTATGCCTGACTCAATCATTTGGAGTCAAATCGAAAACATGGAAAGGAGAGAACAGGTTCAGGAAGATGATTACTGCTCAAAGGTATGTACTCAGGATCCTCAGGATAAACCACAAAATGGGGGGAAAGTAGATTATACCAAAGAGTGCTCTAAGAGATTTAAAAATGATTGCAAGGATACAGCCAGTGAGACTGGTGATCAGCTGTCCCCAACTGATGGTAAAAGCCATCTCTTAGAAAAGACTCACACTGACCAGGTCCAAGATTCCAAATCCCAAAGGAAAAGTCAAGATTCTTCCCCCTCCAGCTCAGTAGGCTTAGATGTGCATTTGACAGATTTCTTAGAGGAAATTAGTAGTGATTCTGAATGCTTCAGTGAAACTCTTAGCATAAACGAACAGGAGAAACAGAAATCTGTGACCACATATCATGGTTCTCCTGAAAAAGGAACTCTTGATGCAGATGAAATCATTACCTGTGAAAAAAAAACTAGGTCAAGTCAGCAGACTTCATATTCAGAGTGGAAACGTGATGGTGAGGAAAAATACTCCAAATACAAGCTTAAGACACCAGGCAAGAGGTCTAGGAATGAACCGAGATGTTCATGGCTTAAGGATGAAAGCAATTCCGTTAATGATGAGAAGAATAGCAGCAAAAAGAGGAGAAAAATGGCCCCCAACTACTTGTTTGATGAAGGCTACTACCACGAATCCAGTTCCAGTGATCAATTAGAGGACATCACAAAGAAGAGGAGGGTTAGTAGGGGTGCACTGGACCAGAATTTGAACTATAGAACCTCTCATGTGCCAATAACATCAAAAAGTGCTAATGCTTTCTATTTGGGATATTTTCCCAAAAGAAGAATGAGTCCTTGGAAGGCAGACTATAACCAGGATGCAAGAAGGCTTAAAAGACATGAGAATTCTAAAGATCTCATTTTCAGTTCTGATAATCATCATGTTAGACATAATAGTCAGGAGCACATTGACTATGGAAGCTATTTAGCAAACAACTACACTAGTTCTTTATATTTTCAAATGTTCTGATGGCTACTTTGATCAGGAACACTCTTATTTATAATCAATGATTTGGAAATAAGAAAATTTAAAACCAAATATAACTATGTAGTTAGTAACTACACAGCAAGAGCTTGAGCAGGGTCAAATGCAAAACCTTGTTTCTCTTTCCAAAGTGTAAAACATAGATCAAAATGACCGCAGGTGTGTTGGCAAGCTTTGGAAATATAAAACCTCTGGATCATGAAGTTTGATGAAACAATGTGCTTGCAAAGCTTCATGATTTAAATATTTCTTTCTTTTTCTTTTTTTTTTTTTTTTGGTACTGGGGATTGAATCCAGGGGTGCTCTACCACTGAGCTATATCCCCAGATCCTTTTATTTTTGACTTTGAGACAGGGTATCAGTAAGTTGCTGAGGCTGGCCTCAAACTTGAGATCCTCCTGTCTCAGCCTCCCGAGTTGCTGGGATTATAGGTGTGTATAACTGCACCTGGCCAGGACAGACTTTTTTTTAATACCTTTAATTTGGTGCCAGTGAAGGAGCAGATTAACATTGAGAAGGGTTGAGAGATAGCCCTGTATGGCTCTTTTGCTGACACAACATCATCATTTAGTATCATTCATCTTCAAAGAGGACAACAGTGAACAAATAAGGAACCTTTTACATGTTTTTTGATTTGGTCAGAAACACCAAGTGCAATAACAATCCTTTCTCACTTTTATTTATTAATAATTATAGATAAAAGAGAGAGACAACAGCTAGAGCATAGACTTCTTCATGACATTAGAGAGTTTTTTCAGTATCCACAGGAAGGTAATTCATCATATTAATATATGTCAATAAAACCCAAAGAGTTGTCCTTTTAGAGACGAAGTTTGGAATAAGAATTTAAAGGGGGCTCAGATTGTCCTTTGTGGTTTAAATGGTCAGGGAACAATTAATAGTTTTTGTTGTTGTTGTGTTATGAACCCCATATCTTTCCATCATGGAAAAGCAACAGGATTGAAGTGATATAACTAGAGGGCTTTGCAAAATGAAATATTCAATATCCTGGAGCACCAATAATGGCACTTGGGAAGAGAAGATATGACAGTTCCATTTCAGGTTATGTAATTCTTTCACTCAGGGTTGGGTGACATCGGTTTGTAAAAAGTCACTGAATATCCCCAAACTGACTTTTATAAGACAGTAACAAGTGCCTCCTCAATCCTCAATTATGCCATGGAGTTAGGAAGAGTTAAGGGAAAAAAACATAGTTTTCTGGTTGTGGAAAAGTTGTATGTGTTCAGGATTTATAAACTCTATTTAACATAAAGAATTTATCTTTTTACCTACTCATTTTGGACTTCTTAAATATGTTTTAAAATTGAGACATTTTATAGATTATCTTAAAGATTAAATCTTAGTGCAGCATATGTTCTATAGAAAGCTTGGCCAATGAATTCTGCCTTATGTTGGATTTAGGACCTCAGGGGCAGTAGATATCCTTTATTTTCCCAACAAAGCTATACCTGACCTGGCAATAGAAGATATCAGTTAGATTAGATACTGCCTGCACAGGAGAAAATTATTTTAATCCACAAAATCAGTGAAAGGCAACATTTTCATATTATAATTCATTTCAAACTATCTTAATTTGATATTCTGTAGAAAAGCACCAGCTAGTAGAAACAGGTAGGATGCCAGTCAGTGTGGTTGCAAAGAATGATGTCGCACAATGTGTGCCCATAACCAGCCTCTTGAGCAACCTGGTATCTGAAGTAGCTACAAAGTCTCATTTATCTAAAGAGCCACAAGTTTCATGGATCAATTTGTATTTTAATAATGATATGTTAGGACATGCAAAATTCAGAAGTGAATACACCATAGCAAATCATGTCTATTACTAATAATAACCAATGAGTAATTTGTTGGCTCTCGTGCTCAATCCCACTTTTAAGCCAGTGACTCCCCTATTAAAACTAGGTTTGGCTAATCAAATTTGAAAAAGTGCTCATGGGGCAAGTGCCTTTTCTCCTCTGAGGACTAGCAATGACTATTCATGTTCAAAGTGCTGTTGTCCAGAGTAGCCTTTTAAACATACTAACAGCTCATATTTTATCAGACAACTTTGTTAACTAGGTTATTATCCACCTCCAATAAAAACCTGTCTCTTTATTTTTTCATATTTTATGTCATTGAAACAAAGAACTTTCTGAGTTTGTAATGGAAAATAGCTATTGGGGGAAAAATCTCAAATTTTTCCATCATTTGATAATTTTTGTCTTTGCCCAGTTTTTAAGACATGGAAACAATTTACTGCTCAGCAAACAGACATAAAAAATAAACTGCTGAATATAGCATGTGCAATTTTTCTTTGTATAATAGAACTGGTGCTAATTCATTTCTACATGGTATTTTTGTCTTGTTTGGTTTGTTTGCTATATACCATCCTGGGACCTAGAAGAAAGTAAGAATACAGGTTTTATGTTGACTTTCTGAACAACCTGTATTTTTATAGCTTGTGGTAATGCATTCTAGATTTGAGTCAACCTTTTTGTGTAGCCTTAAATGAGAAAGACAACTTATCCTGTACTTTTCAATCAAGTGGCTTAGTAAAGAGTGAAATAGAACTGAAATTATTATAACCGTATTCTCTTAATTGATGTTATTCTTTGTTGTGCTGTTATTTAAGTGGTGCAAAGTATTTTCTCATATCCTTTTTCTATGTCGTATTAAATAAGGGCCTGAACTTTAAACTTTGTCTTTTTAAATAGGTATTTTCATGTTTTTCCTTGTATGTGCTGCTCATACTGCTGTAAGAAAGCTAAAAAATCTGTCATGTTTTTTGTTCAGTTTGAATTTCTCAGGTAGAAAGCCATGTAACTTGGTAATTTTGAAAATAGAACCAAATAAATGTATTTTTTATTTGTTGCAAACTGTTTAAAATGTTAATTTTTAAATAAATGTTGATAATTCCACTTTTGGGGGAAGTTTCTACCTGTAGAATACAGCATTGCACTAATGTTGCTCTTTTTCCTCATTTGCATTGTTAGAGAAATAGTGACACATTTAATTTTCATATATATTAAAAATAAAATTGTCATAGTGACTGTTGAGTCTTTGTTCATTTGCCACATGTATTGGCTAGAATATTGAACACTCATAATTAACAGTTTGTCTGAAAACATAGTGACCAATTTTAATATTGTTTTTATGCCAGTTTTCCCTTTATGATGAGTTCATGGGAACTGTGTAGGGCTCATGGTACCAACAACCAGTATTGTTTTCATTTTGGATAAATCAAAATCATGTTTGATTTGTAATCATCCCTCCTTCAGTACACTTTTTATCAGTCCTATTAAAAGGTAGCAGAATTGAGTATGAAATTTCATCTTATCCCCTCAGCACTGGGTGGAAGTGTCAAAGTTTATACAATACAAAAAAAAAATAACTGGGTATGGGATGGGGAGTCTAGTAGAGAAGCTAGATTCCTGATAATCAGTCTTTGATCATTTAAGAGTTAACTATATTTGTACATGAAATACACAACAAACTGCCTTGAGGTATTATATAATTAAGACAGACTGTACCTTCAACTCTGGGCACTTGTGTGGTTAAAAGAACTCTTCCTGAAACAGCAAGGAATAGTGGATGCTTGTTCTGGATAGCAAATTTGCATAAATTTGGCCCTCAGAGGTAAAGAGAATGTTACATTCTACAGAGAAGCCAGATAGGGAGATACAGAAAACTTAGCTAATGCTTGCTTTGAAACACAGATACAGAAAACATGTAACTTATGCTGCTTGTAAACCACAGACATAGAAAATATGTAACCAATGCTGCTTGAGATCCAATTCTGTACTGAGAACAAAGTTTCTCTGCAGCTGGTTGGGTGACAGCAGGTGGGGAGCAAACAGAGGTTACCCAGATACCTGCCCTGCTGGATGTATGGAAGTGGTAACAATCACTGCTATCTTTTCTAGAATTACACATTTTTCTATACTATGGCATATATAGTATGGACTTGATAAAAAGTTTTGCCTCAAAATCCTGCCTTATGGTAATATCTCTTGACATGTAATCAACACAATGTTGATTCAGCTCTGAATGCAGGGGAATCAGGATATTGGGATTGAAGTGTTAATGACATTCTAGATGTTTTCCTCTTGGCATCAGAAAAACCTGCTAAACTGTGTAAACAGAGTAGCCTAATCTACACGTTTAAATGAGGGCTGGGGTTGTGCCTCAGGGGTAGAGTGCTCGCCTAGCATGTGCGAGGCCTTGGGTTCCATCCTCAGCACCACATAAAATAAGTAAATAAGTAAATAAATAAATAAATAAGAATTTGTGTCCAACTACAACTAAAAAATAAATATTTGTTTTTTTTTAAATAAGACTTAAGGCTACAAAGGTGGCCTAACTTCTCTCCCTCCAGTTTCTCCAAAGCAGAAGGTGCAGTAAGGCACCTGACATAAAATAAGCATTTGAATATTTCTTGGATAAAATAGTGTGGGGGAAAAAAATGCACATTTTAAAAATATTCATGCACTGTTGCAGTTAATAACATTACTCCTTAATAAACCTGCTACAGACTTCAGTTAAGAAAGTTCCGACTCTGGGGCTGGGGATGTGGCTCAAGCAGTAGTGTGCTCGCCTGGCATGCGTGCGGCCCGGGTTCGATCCTCAGCACCACATACAAACAAAGTTGTTGTGTCTGCCGAGAACTAAAAAAGAAATAAATATTTAAAAAGTTCTCTCTCTCTCTCTCTCTTTAAAAAAAAAGCTCTGACTTAAAAAACAATTCAATATTTCTTTTTTTTTTTTGGTACCTGGGATTGAATCCAGGGGTATTTAACCACTGAACAACATCCCCAGCTCCCCTCTTTTTAAATTTTGAAAGTTTCACTAAATTGCTGAGGGTGGCCTGGGACTTGTGATTCTCCTGCCTTAGCCGTCTGAGTCACTAGAATTACAGGTGTGTGCCACCATCTCTGGCTCAATTCACAATTTCTTAAGAAGACAAGGTGATATTTGTAGTGGAAGGA